TTCTTGACATTGAGCCTCAGTCCATACTGAAGGCTGCAGTCCTTGACCCTTCGCAGCAAGTGCATGAGGTCCTCCTCAGTTTCAGCAAGCAAGGTTGTATCATCTGCATAACGGAGATTGTTAATAGATCTTCCACCAATCCTGATGCCACAATTCTCCTGGTTGTAGGGGAAAAATAGTTTTTATGTTTATCTCAAATGTAATGTTTAAAACGGAAGAGAGCAAGCTTGAGAGCTTCTTTTGCCATGTTCACTGTTGCTGTCTAAGAAGGGTCAGAGTGTGATGCACTGAGCTCTGAATCCAAGTGATTGCAGACAGTCCTTTGCGGTTAACCTTGGACTAAACCATCTAGGTGTCTGCCTTTTAGTTGGGAAAAATTTAGTTTCTTAATTGTTTTCCTTTAACCCATATTAAAATTCCATTTTATTCCCTTATCACACATGAGGTAGTCCATTTTTTTAAGTTGGAATGTGCTGGCTGTGAAGGAAATAACCATATTTTAAAACTTTATACAAATAGTCCTCAGAAAGGGAGCTCTTCTTGACACAGCCTGGTAAACAAAAGATAGATGGTTCCAACCCATCAGCCACTCCAGGTAAGAAAGATGTGGTGCTTTAGGAAGTGCCATAAAGCAGTTCTGGGCTTCCCTGGAATGTCACTCAGATTTGGAATTGGCCTGAGGATGACAGGTAGTGCTCAAAGATTTAGTCTCATATGAATGTTGAAGATGGACCTCAAAAGTTAGTGGTCAGTTTAACAACTTTAAAAAGGTTTGTGGAAGAACTTTTTATGAAAGATGAACCCCTGTGGAAGATGCTAGACTCTGAATCTGTCTGTTAAAAAAACAGGTTAAACTTGGGTGGTCGATGTTGTGAGCAGTGATAAGGGCCATTGTCCAGTACTGATTTAGGATATTGATAATCTGTACAGACAAAGAGATAATTAATTGCTCGACATAAAAGCAAGTCAGCATTATGAAGATACTGATGCCTCATGCTAGCAACAAGACACTTAGTTTCACATATCTAACTTGCACTGTTGCCATTCACATGTATTTTTAGGAACCATTTTAGGGGGAGGAGTCCCTAGTTGGTGCACACAGTTAATGTACTTGGCTGGTAAACCAGACATTGATTAGAGTTCCTTCGGAAGAAAGGCCTGGTAATCTCCTTCCAAAAAATCAGTCATTGGTATACAGATCTGCTGATACCTAGAAAGTCACCATCAGTCAGAATCAACTTGACAGCAACTGACTGGTTTTTTAAGAGTAGTTGGGGCTTGTGGATGGTAAATCTTTGTCTTATACTCAAGTTCTCTACTTCGGTGCTATTTGTCAGTGGTTCCGAACTCCAGCCCCACAAGTGGTGGTGGTGTTGAAGAGGAAGACAGTCAGCAGGAATCTGAAACTCCTGATCCAAGTGGAGGTTTCCGAGGAACAATGGAAGCAGATCGAGGAATGGAAGGTTTAATCAGTCCCACCGAGGCCGTGGGGATCAGTAGTGGGGCCAGCAGCTCCTGTCCTGGCTGGCTTCGAAAGGTAATTGCTTTGGTAGATAGCACATTAGCTAAAATATCAGACCCTTTGCCAAGGGAAGAAGGGACCTCCCATTATCTCTGTCCTTTTAAGCTGTTACGCAGTAGATCTAATGTGCTGATTTCTGCCTGGGAAGATTTCTACCAAAACTCCCATCCTTTGTTTCTCAACAAGATTCTTTAGGAAATACTCTCAAAGCCATATTACTTAATGAATGTCAGTTAATACAACTTTCCTTGAAGGCATTTTTTAGTGAATGTGAGCAAAAGTTAAGCTTATAGATTTTTAAATGTTGGACCAGTTGAATGTCTTATATTTGGCAAATGGTTCCTGAAACTGAGGTGCAGACAAAAATGTTGGAGTTTATTTATAAGGCTCTTCACAACATATTGATATGCAGAAAAAGATGGAGTATCTGAGCAGTATGACTCTTTTAAGAAACTGTGTCATGCATAGAAGTGTAGCCACAGAATTATATATTGAAAGGTGTAATAGTGGTTACGAGTGATAGAATTGGTGGGTTTTATTCTTTTTTGACTGTATATCCTGCTTTATTTTCTACAGTGGACACTTGTAACTTGTGAACTTCTTAAAATTTTAACCAAAAATAGAAAAAAAGGATTTTCCAGAAAGATTAAAGCTTGATAGTTATTTGAGAATTTAGGGAGGAGGAAACAGCACACTGCTTTGTCGGAACTTTCAGCCTCAACCCTTAGCAGCCTGGCTGTCTGCCCTAGAGCCACCACCTCAGAGCCTCCCCCCCTTGCTGGAGGTATAGAATAAGGATGCTGGGATACTCCGGGCTGTGGTCTTGATGCTGAGCCTGCACTCCCAGCACTGTTAATCATCTGAGGAGAAATGGCAGGTTATAAACAAGTAAAAGGAGATACATTGCTGACCACAACAGTCCAGCCTGCTTGAGAATGATGGTGATAAGACAGAGTGAAAGTGATAGCAAGAGAGACACCTGAGAGAAGCAATAACAAGAGACGGATCTTGGGAGAAAGTAAATCACTGCAAATAGAACTGCTAAGTATTCTTCCTCATCTCCATAGGAGCTGGAAAACGCAGAATTCATCCCCATGCCTGACAGCCCCTCTCCCCTGAGCGCAGCCTTTCCAGAATCTGAGAAAGATACTCTGCCCTACGAAGAGCTGCAAGGACTCAAAGTGGCCTCTGAAGCTCCTTCAGAACACAAGCCTCCAGCGGTTGCCTGGGTAACTGAACTTTTTGCTTTTGAATCACAACTAGATAAACAGCGGCTAAGGGCAACTGAACTTTTTGCTTTTGAATCACAACTAGATAAACAGCGGCTAAGGGCTCTGCCCAGTTCTCCTGGCTTGTCAACACCTGTGTCCACATTGGTCTTTCTGCTGCTCTGTCAGCTCATACTGTCTGCCCAGTAGTGCTTAAAGCCTCTTCCCAAGCTCAGCTGAGTTGCCTTGGAGAGGTATTTACCCTGACACATTTATGAGAGTCCTTTCTATGCCAGAGGGAAAGTCTCCATTCAATCTAGTAAGCATGGCCCTACTACACTGTTGGAGACCCTAAGTGTAAGTAAGGAGAAATGCTCGGTATAGAGAGATAGCAGCAGATGTATACCTGACTTTCACAGAAACTGAACTGTGGTCAATAAAACTATAACCCAGTGTTACCAAACTTTTTCTATAGAGGCCCACATAGTAATTATTTTAGCCTTTCTTTTGCAACTACTCAACTGTGCCTGCATTCCGGTAAAACTGGCAGTAGGCTGGATTTGACCCCTAGGGCTGTTCTTTGCCAACCTCTGCTCTAAGCAAACTACGGTAGACAGAGAAAAGTTTCAGGCTAGGGTCATTAATAAGCTTTCCAGAGGAAAGTAATAAAACTGTGAAACTTTAAGGTGAATGTTTTTATTTTTTATTATTTTTTGTGTGTGTACCGTCAAATCGGATCTGACTGGTACAGGAGGAGATTGTCCCTCCTTCTTCAGCAGAGCAGCTGGTGGATTTGAACCACGCACCTCTGGGATTGCAATGTAAGGTGAATGTTTTAAGTCCTCTGTCAGTTGCTGTTAGGTGTCCCTGAGTTGCTTCCAAATCACCCCAGCTCTGTAACAGCAAGACAAAACATTGCCAGGTCCTGTGCATTGTCCCCACAGTGAAGGCTGTGTTTCATCACAATGTTGTAGCCACTGTGTAACCATTTTTCTGAGAGTCTTCCTCTTTTCCACTGACCACCTTGGCCAAGCACAATGTCCTTCCCCAGGGACTGGCCTTTTATGATAATAGTACATCCAAAGTACGTGAGATGAAAGTCTTGCCATCCTCACTTACAAGGACCATTCTGGCCATACATCTTCTAAGACCAGTTTTTACCTGCTAGTACACAGTGCATTCAGTATTCTTCACCTTAATTCAGAGGTATCAATTTTTTTATCTTCTTTATTCATTGTGCACATTTTTCATACAGATGAAGCTACTGAAAACATCATGGCTCAGGTCAGGAACACCTTAAGGCCTCCAAGTGACGTGGTTACTGTTTAACACTCTAAAGTGATCTTTTGCAGATCTGCCCAATGCTGTCATTTGATTTCTTTGATGCTGCTCCATTGAGCATTGATTGTGGGCTCAAGTAAAATGAAATCCTTGACAGCGTCATTTCAGAAGCTTCAGTATGCATTTAAAAACTGTGTTGGTTAGTGGTATGAATTGCGCTGCCAACACACAGGAACGAGGTTTGAATCTGCCAGCAGCACTGTGGAAGAAAGATGGACAATCTTCTCCCAGGTGACTTTAGAACCTTTGATACCTTGCTGGTCATTACGTACTGTTGTCTGACCTGTTTTTGCTCTGAGAGACACAGGGCCAGCCTGTGGTAACAAGGGGCTTTTCAGGAACAGTAAATCCCATGGAAGAAGACTGCCCGTCCATCTCCTGCAGAGCAGCTAGTGGATTCAAACCTATTGCCTTTGGGATTGCAGCACAGCTTCTTACAGCCACTAGAGTGCCCTTAAATCCTTGGCAATTTTAAACTTTTCTCCATTTATCGTGATACTGCTTACTGACCCAGTTGATGTTTTTAATTTCTTTATGTTGTGTAATCCATACTGAAGACTACTTTTGATCTTTATCAGTAAGTACTTTTAAGTCCTCTTCCCTTTTAGCAAGCAAGGTTGTACGATCTATAAATCTCAGGTTGTTAGCGAGTCTTTCTCCAACCCTGATAGTCTTCATATAGCCTCAGATTCTTTGCTCAAAATACCGATTGAATAAATATAGTAAAAGGAAGCAACCCTGACACTCCCATTTCTGATTTGTAAACACAGTGTCCTCTTGTTTTATTTACACAACTGCCTGGTGTGATTGCTTTGTAGAATTTGAGCCTTGTAGAAGTGTTCTGGTTGTCCCGTTTACTCAGCTCCTCTTAGATTTCTACATGGGATCCACTGCATGTCCTGAATATTGACCCTTACGACTGCAGTGCCCTCCCTGCAGGCAGGAGGACGGTGTTCTATCAGGATTGTTCCAAAACAAAGTATGCTTTTCCCCACATCAGCATTTTAAATGAGAGATGTTTCCTTGGCCTCAGAGCCATAGACTTGGGGGACATCAAGGTCAATTGGCATAACCTCAAAGACAATGTTCTTCATCCTGTTTTGGTGAGAAGTAACTAGGGCATTTAAACTAGGCAAGCAACCAGGTAAGGTACAACTCTTGGTCTCCCTCTGTCCAGAACATGCATAGTTCAAAGGACTAAAGGGCTCAAACCTCAGCCTCCACAACCCTGAAGCCAAAAGAACTCGATGGTGCCCAGCAGCCCCTGCTGACCACTCTGAAAAGAATCCTAACTGACAGTGCCAGATTGAGTAGGGGAAAATGTGGAATAAAATGCTAAAGCTGGCAAGCTCTGGTGGCCTAGTGGCAAGAAGCTGCACTGCTATCTCAGAGGTACACAGTTCAAATCCACCAGATGCTCTGCTAGGGAAGGAGGAACAATCGCCTCCTGTATCAGTCAGATCTGATTTGATGGTACACACAAAAAATAATGAACTAAAATAAATTTTAAAAAAATGCAAAAGCTTAAAAATAATTAGGCTTTCTGATCTGTCAAGAAACTTGTGGCACTCCTATGACTACAGGCCTTAATCGCCGTTGAATCTGTAACAAAAGTCACACTGTTTAAAAAAAAAAGTCACTGTTAGCTCAGTTTTCAACCAAATAATAGGCTGAAAGATGAACAGTATCACCAGGAAGGGGCTCACTCTCGAAAATAACAACCATGTAAGATCAAAAAGGCAGCATCTGCCCAGGGATAGTACTTGGAAGGCAGGAAGAAACAGGACAGAATTAATGGAAATGAGAAACATATGGACGATAAGGGAAGTGTGTGGTTAATTTGTAGATATTATGAAGCAAAATGTGAATGAGTGAATGAAATTTTCTTTGTAAACTTTCAGGTCACAATAAAGAAGTAAGTACAATAGATCAATGAGAGATACTAATGTACTTTAAAATTTGCAAAACCCTCTAAAACTGGTAACAGTTGCTCTTCTTAGATGAGCACTGAGGGATCTCTTTTCCTTTTTTTTTTATTTTAATGAAAGTTTACAGAGACTTTGGATTTCCATTCATATATTGCTGCACACTTTTTTCTCCCTGCCTACCCCTCCTCTCAGTTTGCTCTTCTCCTAAAGAGAGGGGGAAGAAAAAAAACACAAAACCTTTCATTGTTATACAATCCTGCCTCCATCCCAAGTCCACTTTACTATGCAGCTATTATTCTGGACTTTTGTCATGACAATAATACCTAATTATATATTCCTTTTAAACTATTCTGTCCCTCATCTGTTTCAATGCAGTGTACATTATTTATCCACTCTTAAGTTCCCTCCAACTCTGATGTCAGTGTATTTTACAACAGTGGCACTGTGCAGTATTTGTCCTTTTGTGACTGAGATATTTCACTCAGCATAATGTCCTCCAGAGTCATCCATTTTGTATAATATTTCACAAGTTCCTTGTTTTTCAAGGCAGCATAGTACTCCATTTTGTGAATATACCAGTTTCTCTATCCATTCATTTGTTGATGAGCAGTTGGGTTGTTTCCAACAACTCTTTGCTATTATGAACAAAGCAGTCATAAACATGGGCGTGCATATATCTGCTTTGTTGCAGTTTTGGTTTCTTTAGGGTGTATTCCCAGTAGTGGAATTGCTGGGTCAAATGGTATTTCTATTTGCAACTTTTTGAGAAAGCACCATACTGCCTTTCATAGTGGTTGCACCATGTTACACTCCCACTAGCAATGAATAAGGATTCCAGTTTCTCCACACCCTCCCAGCATTTGTTTGCTGCTCTGTTGAATTTTGGCTATTCTTACTGGGGTGAGATATCTCATAATTGTTTTGATTTGCATCTCTCTTAGAGCTAGGGATTTTGAACATTTCTTCATGTATTTGTTCACCATCTGAATGTCCTCTTTGGTGAAGTGTCTGTTCCTGTCTTGTGCCCATTTTTCAATTGGGTTGTTTACCTTTATCTTGTTGTGCTCAAGTAGTCTATAAATTCTAGATATAAGCCCCTTATCAGACATGTCATTACCAAATATTTTTTTCCCCAGTCTATGGCTTCCCTTTTTACCCTGTTGGAGAAGTTTTTGGATGTGCATAGGGATTTGATTCTTAGCAGGTCCCCATTCATCTATTTTATTCTCTCTTGGTCTGCTAAAGAGTCTCTAAAATTGGTAACTGTTGCTCTTCAGAGATGAGCACTGAGGAGTCCCTTGATCTGACTTAGAGCCAGGTGCTTTTGCTTTCTTTACATATTACTTTGTTTTAACTGTTACTTTAAAAACGAGTGTATTGAAAGGAAGTTTGGTGTAATTTCTCTCTCCTCTGCAGCCTCCTCGGTTAACTCCTGCAGTAACATGTGCCAGAAAGGGAACCTCGTTAACGCCCCCTACCTGTGCATGTAGCTCCCTGCAGGTGGAAGTTGAGCGATTACAGGGGCTCGTGTTAAAGTGCCTGGCTGAACAACAGAAGCTACAACAAGAAAACCTCCAGATTTTTACCCAACTCCAGAACAAGAAGTTGGAAGGCGGACGGCAGGTGAGGGTCTTAGATAATTCCATTTCTCTCTTTTGAAGAATCACAGAAACAACACCAAAAAGTAAAAGTAGGCATATTCCTGTGTAGATATTTACCTTTTAATTAACTTTCTAGTGAGTCCCTGAACCCTTGGGCCTGATTCAGGTATCAAGACTGAGTCATTTGCATTATCTGACATCTGCTGGTTTTTTTCTTTTACTTGTTACATACCATCAATTTGGAACCAACTCACAGCTGACCCTTCAGCAGGTTTTCGGTGGCTACAAATCGAGCAGGAAGAGATTGCCCATCTTTCTGCCATGAAGCAGCTGGCAGATTTGAACCACATGCCTTTGGGCTGGCAGCACAATTCCTTATACACTAGGCCACAAGAGCCCCCTTTTACTTTTTGGTATGTAAGATTTTAAACTACAGTACAATGAACACCCATGTACCTACCACCCAGACTCAGCAGCCATGAACATGCTGCTTTTACTTACTTCTGATTATGTGTTTATTGGTAGGTAGGTACATTTTCCTGAATTTAAATAATAAAAATTTTAAATAATCCCTTTTAAATAATAAAAATCCTAATATAGCATCCTCAAATACTTTATTATGTATCTACATATAGTCCCCAAAATAACCACAATTTTTTTATAATTTCTAAGCAAATTAATTTTTTTTTTTTTTTTTTAAATTTTTGTGTGAGTGTACCGTCAAATCAGATCTGACTGGTACAGGAGGAGATTGTCCCTCCTTTTCCCGGCAGAGCATCTGGTGGATTCGAACCGTGAGCCACTGGGATTGTAGTTGCAGCTCCCTGCCACTAGGCCACCAGAGCTCCCCTTAAATTAATATTCTTCATTTTCTTCCAGTTGTTATTGTTGTTGTTAGGTGCTGCTGAGTCACCTACGACCCATAGCAACCTTATGAACAACAAATCTGAACTCTGTCCTACCCTGGCCCATCCTCACACTTCCTGACACATTAGAGCCCACTGCAGCAGTCACCATGTCAACCCACCTGGTCGAGGATCTTCTCCTTCGTCAACCCTCTACCTTTCCTAGCATCATGTACCTCTCCAAGGAATAGCCCCTCCTAGCAATATCCACTACTCCATAGACATTTAAATTTCCTGTTTGCCCATAAAAATGTCCTTTACAATGTTTTTTTTTAACCTAGTTAGAAACCACACATTACATTTCACATTTGGTTATGTCCCTTAAGTCTTTTAGTAATCTAGAATAATCCTTCCCACCATTAGCACGTCATTTTTGTTTTAAAGTATTTTCCTGATACTGAATTATTGAAAAAGCCAGGCCAGATATAGAATAAATTGCACTACATCCTAATTTTGTTTTATTTCCTTGAGGTATTATTTGGTCTCCTATCACCCTATCGTTGCTATAACTAAAAGTTAGATTTAAAGATTTGAGTACATTCAGGTTAAATATTTTTGTTGATTTTTTTTTTAACTTTTTTTTTCTTTTTAAAAAATTTTATTTTATACCGGTTTACTTACAAAGTTCATATAGTTCATATATATTGCTTTTCACACTGGATCTTTCCTCTTTCCTTTACCTATCCCACCACCCATCAAATTGTGTGACTCTATTTTTTTTAAAAAAAAAAAAAGGAAAAAAATTCCTTCATTAGTATACAATTCCCACGTCCCTTCCCCCCACCCCCCACCCCGAGTACTCTTCTATATGCAACCTTAATTCTGGATTCCTGTGCTAACCATAATACTCAATCATATATCACTTCTAATCTGTTCTTTCCCTCATCTATTTCAATACAATATACATAATTTATCCAGATTTTTCTGTCATACCCCCACCCTGATGTCAGACCCATTCTACAACAGTGGCACCATGCAGTATTTGTCCCTTTGTGACTGAGATATTTCACTCAGCATAATGTCCTCCAGGATCACCCACTTTAAATAACATTGCATGAGTTCCTTGTTTTTCAATGCTGCGCAGTATTCCAGTGGGTGGATATACCACAGCTTCTCTATCCATTCGTTTGTCGATGGGCCCTTAGGCTGCTTCCAGCTCTTTGCTATTGTAAACAAAGCTGCAATAAGCATGGGTGTGCACAAAAAAACTTTTAATAAAAAATATTTGTTTTATATTGATTTATTTACAAAGTTCGTATGTACTGTTTTTCACAGTATCCTTGATTCAGATTGTATTTCATGCAATCATTCCCATTCATTATATAAAATTAATAAGCACTGAAATATGCCCACCATTGCCCTGTCTTTCCAGATCCCCACCAGGTCTTTCCCATTTCCTTTACCCACCCCTTCCTCTACCCAGCAGATTGTGCGGCTCTATGATTTCCTCCATGCCCATCCTCACTCCTCTGCTCCTACCCCCGCCCCTTGGATCCTCAGACATGTTTTACTCTATAATAATGGTCTTAGGCAGTATTTTTCCTTATGGGACTTGAGTGTTTGTCCTTATAGGGCTAGAAGTTAGATTTAAAGACGTGAGTACATTCAGGTTAAATATTTTTTGTGAAAATACTTAACTGCTTGCAATATTTTAATGAGTCGTAATATTGTTCTATATAGAGTGAACTAAGAAAAAACAGCTGTCTTGGGTAAAGTACAGCCAGAGTGCTCTTAGAAGCAAGGATGGCGGCACAGCTTTGTCTCTCATACTTTGGGCTTTTGCTAGGAGAGGCTATTCCTGGAAAGGGACATCATGCTAGGAAGGTGGAGAGTCAGCAAATGAGAAGAAGACCCTTAAGGAGATGGATTGACATGGTGACTGCAGCACTGGGCTCAAGTGTATCAGAGATAATGAGGATGGCACAAGATAGGACAGGGCTCAGGTCTATTCATAGGGTCACTATAAGTAATACTCGACAGCACCGAACATGTTCAACAACAAGAGTAAAGAAATAAGGTTCAACTCTTGGCTTTCCCATTTATCAACCATCTGTTTTTTAATGAATTCCTTTGTTTCTTAGAGCTCTCGTTTTTAACTTAGAAAAGAAATACCCACCTTTTGTGGTTGTTTTAAGGAATTAATGTCTGTGAAAGTACTTTGGGAAAGCAGGATACACACTTGTAATACAAAGGGGCATCTGAGAGCTGTAGCATGCAGAAGTGTTTCACTCAAGATTCTAGTTTTTTTTGTGTTTTTGTTTGTTTTTGGGGGGTTTTTAAATTTTTTTTTTTTTCATTATTTTTTGTGTGTACCCTCAAATCAGATCTGACTGGTACAGGAGGACATTGTTCCTCCTTCTCGAGCAGAGCATCTGGTGGATTTGAACTGTGCACCTCTGAACTTGCAGTTGCAGCTTCTTGCCACTAGGCCACCAGAGCTCACCAAGATTCTAGTTTTTGTAACCAAGCAATCAGCACCCTAGAAAATCCTCTAGTCTTGAGTAGTTGGGACAGTTGTTCATTGTACCTGCAGCTAGAGTGTATCTATGGCCTCACAAGACTGTTAGAGGTTAGAATTGAAATTTATAGTCTTGTTTTCTGTGACTAGGTGGGGATGCATTCCAAAGGAACTCAGACATCAAAGGAAGAGATGGAAGTAGATCCAAAGCCTGACTTAGATTCGGATTCCTGGTGCCTCCTGGGAACAGATTCCTGTCGATCCAGCCTCTAGTCTCCTGAGCCTGTACAGCCCCAGGAAACTGGGGTGCAACGAACTTCACAGCACACTTACAAATGCAAAGAGCAGCTTTCCTGGCTTTGTTCACTTGCAGACAAGGAGTGCAAGGCAGAGGCTCCGAAGTCATTTCCATGGACATGTGGAGAGTGGCCCTGCCTTTTAGATAGGATCTAGGAGTCATTTTACTGTCTTGGGGAATGAAAGGGCCCCATGGCCCTGGCTTTGTCCTCAGTGACTGCCATAGCAACAGCAGCTCTGTACCTCATCTGTTGATCCCACCTTTGAAGAAGAGATGCATCGCTCACCTTAGTTGCTCTGGTAGCAGCTTTTATCTCATTTATCATTTTCACCATTGATTGGAAGGTGCCTTGGGAATTCAACGCCAGGCATTTCAACTCTGGGTGATGAGGGAAACATGTAAAGCCGGAGTGGGCCGGTTCCTGGAACCAGGTGCAGCCTGCCCGGGGTCATCTGGATAGTGTTGAAGTGTCCTGAGCAATCCCAGGAGCCCTGGGCCCAGGAAGAAACGTCTGTGGTATCAAAGTATGGCTTGTTTTCTGAAAGCTCAGCTACTTCATGTAGCTAAATGCTCTAGGAGGAGAAGTGGGCCTAGATTGCTTTTCCTTTGAGGTTAGTTGAAATTTTGTGAGAAGGATGGGCAGGTCCCACCTCATCACACAGCTGGAGTGTTGGGCTGTGACCAGTGCAGTATGGATTTCCTGCCTTTGGAAGATGCTGCTAAGAGATGAGGTGAAGAATTAAGTCAGTGGTGCACAAGCATGCCCTTACAAGAAAATGAGGAGGTTCCTTGAGCTCTCCCCTTGTACCATAGGCCCAGAATGACTCTGAGAAGGCTTGTGCCTCCCTCATGGCACTTAGGGGTCTAATCTTGACCTCCACAGTCCTTTTTTTGTGTATCAGTATTTTTCCCATTTTGGTGTTTTATGAATCCATATTGTAACCAATGAATCTTTATCACCTTTCCTAGTTTAATGTCCCAAAACCAGTACCAAAGTATGGGAGTTCAGGAGCTTGCCAAATCATATAGAAATGACATAGAATTCATATGAATGAAATTTGGCTGAGAACCCACTTCTGATCCCATACTCACTGTGTCCTTATAGACAGAAGCAAACTAAGTCCAAAGACAGAAAGTATCCCAAAAGAAAAATCTTCACAGGGAAGTTTCTAGGTAAGCATGTTTGCCTTAAGGATCTGCACTTTGTGTTTCTACGTAGGCTTGTGAAATACTCCTTCAGTAGTTAGGGACACAGGGGCTGCTTTAAGGAGTCTCACATGATACGTCCCTACAGACAGCTATATTTGGTTTCATTTTCCCAAAACAAACCTGTGCCCTATGCAGTGGGAATTCTGCCATTTCACGGGAAGCGTTGGTGTAAAGTCTGCTGCTCGGGGAAACCCCATGCTGGGGACAGCAACTCTGTTGAGTGGGAGCTTTGGGATGATGTTCCTATTGTTTCCTCAGTTCTGGGAAGCCCAGTACAACAGTACTAATGTGATCACTGAAACCTGTTCTTGAAATAAGGGGGAAAAGGCCATCCCTGGAATAAGGTTACAAATTCTCGAAGTTGAGGGATTTGCTATAAACTTGGTTCATCACGTAAATGCAACTTTGATTATATTAAGGACTGACTGGCCTTTCACGTTCCTGTATCCCTCACCATCTCAGCAGGCCTGAGAGGCAGGGTCAGTTTGGGTGTTTTAATCATAGTATTGCTTCTGCTGTGGGACTGAGGGACACAGACATGTTGCTCAGACTGTGGGATAGAAGCGACAGTGAAGGGCCCAGAGCCCTGCTTTTGATCCCGAGGGGCAATATTGCCTAGCGGTGTGATGCTGTGGCCTTTTCCTCTAGCATGTGCACGTAGGAGTCTAGGTTTGCTGAGAATTTAAGTTTCTGTGCCTTAAAGACAATTTGCACTTCCCCAGATTGTGCCTGGGACAGCCATATGCTTTTCCCACCAAATAGCTATGCAAAATCCAGAGGTGGCAGGTATTCGTGCATTGGATAAAGACTGAAAGGAGAGATAGCAGGAAGTGCCTTTGAATAATTTTCTGCTGCTAATTCCTTTTGAAATTTTGTCCCATGTTTCTTTATGCAGTGCTAGATGTTTTAAGTCTTCTAGTAGTATCGCTTTTGAGTTATAACCTGAGTTACTCCTCTGCTTTGATGTTGTTGAAGAACTAGCTTGTTATTTGCCAAAAGTCTGAAAGGTTGAGGGTGGAGTGGTTTGGCATTTTTGTTTTAAATAAACATTTTAAACTCTCATCCAGTGTTGTTCCTCATTAAGCCTGTGTGTGGACCTTAGTCACTCGTAACGAAACACCCCTATTCAAGCCTTCATGAATCTTCATTGATTCTCTACATAAATGAATGAATGCATGCAGAAACAATGCAAGGAACATTTATTTACACAGAAACAGTTTTTACTTCTTCCTCATTTCTTATTCTGGCCAGCAGGACCACTTCTGCTATGGCAGCTTTGCCCACTCCGCAGATTTCTAAAGTGCAACAGTAAAAGTACAGAGGGAGAAATGAGGAATCATTCAAACAGGAAAGGCTCTCACGGTGCACCCCCCCCCAGCAGGCTTTCCCAAGTGATGATGCCCGCTTACGTTATAGAACTGATTTCCTCTCAAAAGAGGTTGAGCTGTATTCATAACCAAGTTAGAACTTTTCTTCACCTAGCATTTCATTAAAGTTGAAAGCAAAAGCTGCCTTAAACCCATGATTCACTTGAGTTACCATATATTCTTATACCTTCGTAATAGAAAAGCTCAGGAGGATGTATTTTAAACTAATTCATTCAAAAGGATTATTCATAATCATCAGCACAGTGTGGGCTGTAGTCGTGATTATAAACCATGTTCCTGCCTGACTTTAAAGCCAAAGACGTTTACTGCTTCATTGATTAGCTATGGAAATAAACAATACTGAACATTAAGCCAGACAGAATCATGACCATTCAGGGGAAGAACACCACCACATCACATCTCAGCTTCCTCCTGTGTACTTAGGAAGAGTCAGGAACCGATGACAGAAAGCAAATGGCTAAAAGTGCTGCATTAAATAGAAAATGCTGCTTCACTCGGCTTGGGGTTTGTCCCTGATACAACTGGTGTAAAACCAGGTGCGAAGGAGGAATCAAGTTAAAGGGACACAACAGGATTGAGGATGTCCTCAACCTCAACTAGTCTCAACAGATCCCTGAATTAGCAGCTCTCAACTATCAGTGAGACTTGGAAATAGAACTGCAAATGGAGGAAGGGCCTCTAGAATGTGCCTGAACATCTGTGGAGAAAGAAATGGTTGGCTACTAACCGGAATGTCAGAGACTCGAACCCACCACTTCATGGAAGAAAGATGTGGCAGTCTACAACGGTAAAGATTTACAGCCTTGGAAGTCTTATGGGACAGTTCTCCTTTTTCCTATAGGATTGCTATGATTTGTAATTGATTAATTACAACAGTAATGAATTTTTTTTATTAAGTTGTTAGCTGCTATTATTTTATTGATTCTTACTGCATTCTTGTGTACAACAGAATAAAACTATTCCTGGTACTATAAAAAAAAAAATAGAAAATGCTGTTGTGCAACAGTACATCAGCACATCGGCTAAGTTTTATTGTGTGATGTTTCCCCCTATTGTTTAACCTATTAAACTCAAAGTTACAGTCTTCATTTTTTGAACAATTTGTTGGACATTCTTGGACAAATAGACAACTAACTTGTTCATCGAGTCAGAGCTGACCCATAGCTGACTCTCCAGTGGGTTTCTGGAGACAGAGCAGCTGGTGGATTTGATCTGTATACTTTTGTGATTGCAGCCTAGCCTCTTGCCACTAGCGTCTAGGCTACTAGAGCTCCCTACAGATACTAACTTGCAGCATTTATTCTTTTATCCATGGCTCTGCTATCCAGATTTAGAAAAGGGGCCCTAACCTGATCGAGCAAAATTTTAAAAACAAAAAGATATTCCTAGATTCAGCCTCCAATTTAGAAACGCATTTGATCAGCAATACGGGGTTAGAACCCAGTTAGAAGTCTTCTGCAGCAGCCAGATTCTACAGAGGTTTGTTTGCTGGTTCTGGTAAGGAGTAAGGTGGAATGTTGACTCGCTAATGGGTATGAAATAATTTAATTCGGCCTCCTATTTAAAACACATTTGGTCAGCAGTATAGGGCTGGAACATAGTTTGGAAGTCATCTACAGCAGCCAGATTCTGCTGTTGGCCTAGTGAATAGAAAGTAATGCTACCAAGCCATAGGCAGGTGATTTTAATCTGCAGCCCTCAGGCCTGATTTGAATTGGTTTTGGTCAAACATTCTTCTAAGTGGTACAGCGCTGGTCTGTGCATTGCTGTACAAAGGTAATTCCTGCTTGTTATCATGCTGAACACTGATACTGATGTGTCAAATGCGATAATGGTTACCCATGGTGGACAGGGTTTGGTGGAGCTTCCCGATTAAAACAGGCTTGGAAGCAGGAGTGGCATCCACTTCTGAAATAGCTTGCCTCTGGAAACCCTATGAACTTGGAGAAATGAAAGTTACACAAGTGTTCAGGTCTTTCATTCATAAGGTCACTATGAGTCGTTTACGATGACTCGACAGCACTTAACAACAACACAAACATTTAGAGATCAAAGGGGAACCCAAGGCTCTCTTGAAAGTCTTCAGTTACCCAAGAATAACTGCTTGCTTTTTTTTTATTTTTATTATTTTTGTGTGAGTGTACCGTCAAATCAGATCTGACTGGTGCAGGAGGAGATTGACCCTCCTTCCCCGGCAGAGCATCTGGTGGATTGTAGTTGCAGCTTCTTACCACTGAATAACTGCTTTCTTGTGTATTTCACAATCACATTCCCACATGTAACTTTTGTACCCCCTAGAAAGCCCTGATGATACCCAGAAAGCCCAAGTACCTGGGTGCCAGGCAGTGAGGGTTAGGGGGCTGTGATGGTATAAGAGGATCAGCTGATTTTTTAACCCCATCTAACCTGGTGCCTTCTGGCTTCTTGGCCCAGTGTTTTTAGAGCTGCTGGTTTTTCCAAGAGATGTTCCAGATCTCCATTTGTAAATACTCTATTTTTAATGCAGATAAAACACATCCAGGGACAAAGCAAGGAGTCCTAGTGGTACAGTCATTAATTAAGTATGTCATTGCTAACCAAAAAGTTGATGGTTCAAAGCCTTCAGCTGCTGCACAGGAGAAAAATGTGTCTGCTCTATAAAGACTGAATCGGAAACCCCATGGACAGTTTTACTGTGTCCTACAGGATCACTGTGAATCGCCACTCGCTGGACATAGAGTTGCATGTTTTAGGGTGACATAAAGCAGTACAGAGGTTAACACTTTGTAACATTAGCAACAGCTCATTTATGCCATCTACTGCTTTCATCAGCAAGTATTAAAAAAGTGTTGTCCTTCATGTAACTTGCCTGGAGAATGTATAAGGTCCCCTGGTGACAGAGTGGTTAAAATGCTTGGCTGTTAACCCTAAGACTGGTGGTTTGGACCAGTTGGTCCACATGAGAAATGTTCACAGTCTGCTTGGGCAGCCTTGGGTATCTTAGAGGTGGATCTGTCCATCTGTCAGGGTTACCAGGAGTCACATCAGAACTGATTGAACAGCAGTCATTGGGTTTGGAGAATGTGCGTTAGTGTCAAGTTCCCAGAAGGCCTGTACACAATACCTCTATCCTTCTGGAACAAAAAGAACACACCGCATTCAATAGATGCTGTCATGTATTTCCTGTCTTACCCCAGCCCTACCCCTAGCCTAGTGTCTTGCTAAATCCTTAAATTCATATTTCAAATCCAAGTTTACACTCTAAATTAGAAGTTTACTGTGGCATAGACAGGGACATGTGACACTGCAATCTCCGAGCTTGCTTTGGTTTTTGGAGGATTTTGCTGCCTCGTTTAGGCAGCCATCCAGCCAGCCTGATTTGAAAGCAGTGCTAGCAACGGCTGCAACTCAAGACTTCTCCACCCCACTTCCTTTTTTCACATATGAAACCCATTAGACAAGAACAACTACAAAGAGCATAGTGTACTTTCCCCCACCCCTTCCGTAAAGTACATAAAGACGAGGTTTCCTTTCATATGCACTACACCACAGGGATGGTTTAGGATCTATTCACGGGTCCTTTAACCTGACATATTCACACTGTCTTGACCAGAATCAGTGCACCAGGAAGGTTGAGAAGACTTCCATCAATACTGGAAAAATCTTACCTGTTAGAAAAGGTGCCATTTGAGTGACCCTGATCCTCTGACACCCACTCATCCTAATTGTCCAGAATCTTGCAGGAGCAAAGGGAGTTCATCAGAGCCACAGGCAGCAGCAGTGCCCAGAGGGAAATGCCATGAAATGCAGGCTCCACTCTAGCATAAAACACGAGCTAGGCTGGTGAGCAGAGAGCTTTAATGTAGGTTGCTCCCTACCCAGCACCCATTGTTGGGAACTAACACAAGGGATGTCAATCTAAAGGTGGTGGTGCAGTAGGAAGCTGGGGCTGCCTTCACCTCCTGTGGCTTAACAGTGGGGCTCCCTGCACCAGCGTCAGCTCTGCAGGAAGGTCTGGGAAATGTTAGAGGAGTTCTCCTGCTTTGCATCAGGTGTCTTTCCTGCTGTTCACTCCTGAAGAGAAGTGGAGTCTTCTGAACTTGCCAGGAGGTTCCCACTGTCAGCTCAGCTGTAATGCTTTCTTGGAGGTGAAGGGCGGTTCTTGATGGTCTTACATTTGGGAATGTGTCGCTCAGCCACTCTGGGAGCGAAATAGCGGCTACAGTGACAACACTGAATATAGTCTGGATTTTCTGCAGGCAGGATGGGGGGCAAGTCCGAGAGGTTTCCACCTTTGGCAATCACCTGCTGGATTTCTCGAGCCTGCCGGAGGGTGCGGATGAAAGATTCATGCTTCTGTCTCCATGTGCTCTTCCGAGGAGGTTCAGCCTAAAACGTATAAGACTGATCATCCAAATTGGCATGTCTCTCATCTCCTTCCCAAGTCCCCATTATAATGATGGTAAGGAAATGAAAAAGGTGCTAACTAACAAGGCCAAAGAGAACTAGACGGGACCAGCAGTGGCTAATGGCCTGCCAGAGTGGAGGGCTCTAAACCTAGAGCCTGGCTGTCTCCTTTCAAGGAAGGAGGTCTGTCCTTTTGGGGTGAAACTTTCTAATAAATCTACCATTACTATTTTACCCTCATTTCTGCCTTTTAGTCTCTTTCTTCTCATCCCTGTGCTCGGTCTGTGCTTTCATGCTCCAGACACTACAGTCTGCTCCCCTAAGAAACACTAAAATTGCTGTACGCTGCTCTACTTTGGTACTCGAATGCCATTCTCTTCTCTAGTCTAATCAGTCAAGCACAATTCTTTTGCCCCTACGAGAAGGGTGAACTAAGTCCTTACTGTTAAGGCCAATTATCTTTAGTGCCTTCTGATCAAGCTCTCCAGGACTTCCTGACTTCAAGAGACTATAGCTTTTCTAGGAAGGACTGCTGGGACAATATCCAAGCATGCAGGCACAGCTGGTTCCTAGGATGGCTGGTGGGAGAAGACTGCTCTAATGGGCTACGCTCTGTGTGGGCAAACCCAAATCATGTGAAGAAGCATTCAAAAACAGTGCAGGCAAAGAGATCACCTGTCTAGGACACCATAAGGCGCCCTGATGGTGTACTGCATGATGTGTTAGGCTGTTAATCTAAAGGTCAGTGGTTCAAATCTACTGGCTACACCTCCAAAAACACATGCCACTTCCTCTTGTAAATATTTACAGTTTCGGAAGGGAGCTCTGGTGGCCTAGTAGCAAGAAGCTGCCCTGCAATCCCAGTGGCACACAGTTTGAATCCACCAGATGCTCTGCTGGAGAAGGAGGGACAATCTCCTATACCAGTCAGATCCGATTTGACGGTACACACACACACACACACACACACACACACACACACATAAAATTTAAAAAAAATATATAGCTTCAGAAACCTAATAGAGGGTCTTCATGAGTTGGAATTAAGGGTGTGACAATGGTTTTGGATTTTGGTTTTTTGGTTATAATAAAGCATACACAGGGCACAGTCAGGAAAATAATTTAGTTGTCACCAAAGACTTCAGTTATTTGGCTGGATAGCTAAGGACAGTAGTCATGGAGGGACATCTAGATCAACTGGTACAACATAGTCCATAAAAACAATCATGTAACCCTATTTTAGCTAACATCTCCATAGTACTGAGAACCAATGAAGTCAGCTGGAGCCTAAGGTGCGCCTGACCCAGGCCATGGTCTTCGCAATTACTTGCTATGCTTCAGAGAGCTGGACAGTGACTAAGGAGACAGAAGAGGAATTGATGCCTTTGAGTTGTGGTGCTGGAGAAGAGTCTTGGACTGCCAAGAAAACAAACAGGTCAGTCTTGGAGAAGGTGAAACCAAGTTTCTCCTTGGAGGCTTTTTAAGCTTGGAGGATTTTTAAGCTCTGTCTCACATATTTTGGGCATGTGGCCAGGAGAGACCAATCCTGGGAGAAGGACATCATGCTCGGAAGGCTAGAGTGACAGTGTGGGAGAGGAAGACCCCGGATGAGATAGAATGACACAGAAACTGGGATAACAGGGGTAGGTGTGTCAGAGTCAGTGAGACTAGCTCTGGATAGGGCAGGCTCCAGAGCCATTGTACATAGGGTCACTGTGAGTTACAGGTGACTTGATGGCACATAACAACAACCACCCTATTTAGGCAAGTAACAGTGGAGTCTTAGCTACAACTATTGATCTCTTCCCATCTGGAGCAAAGATGAATAAAGAATTATTCCAGAGGACAAATGGACCATACAAACCACAGCCTCTACTGGCCTGAGACCAGAAGAACTAGGTGGGGCCTGGCTACAGCTTTGGCCAGGATCACAACCAGAGGTGGTAGATAAAGTGAGAGAAGAATGTAGAACCAAATTAAAAATCTTTTTAAAATGTCAGATTACAGGGATGGGAAGGGGAATTGAAAATGTGCAACAATGAATAAATAAAAGGGAAAGAAGAGGGAGGGGAAATTCCAGATGACTGGTCTGTTTGATGGTGGTGGAAACTTTGAGACTATGACCCTCACGACATCCTTCAGACCTGAAAATGGGCACACCTCTCCATGCCACCTCCCCCATCATGGGTGGCGCTGTTATGAACAATCAGAACACAATCCCTAAAGCAAAGTTCAGAAGGTAAAAAATTACAGGGGGAAAAGGACAGATGGAAGCAGGGAACTCAGGGAAGGATGAGGAAGAGCCCTGGGCTGAGAGAACTGCAACAAATATGAAGAAGCAATCTATGTAAAAAGTGTTGGATGAGAAACATTGCTTTGTAAACTTTAACCCAACCACCATAAAACATTTTTAAAAAAAAGGTTCAAGGCATTTCTCTGACATACACATTTGTCCAAAATCAAAGTGCACTTTCTCATACCTACTATCAGCGTGATTCATACCCTAAGAACATCACACAGCACACTGGACTTCCCCACTGGACATATTTTTCTGAGCCCTTAAAAAGAGCACAGACAGACTCCTGCTGCCGCCGCGGAGGCCACCATGGCAACTAGACTCGCAGCCTTCCTCAAGAATGCCTGGGCCAAGGAGCCGGTGCTGGTCGCGTCCTTCACCATTGCGGGTCTCGCTGTAACTCTGCCCTCCTTAAGCCCCTACACCAAATATGCCTCCATGATTAATGAGATCACCCCCTACAGCTACCCAGTGCCCCTCCGAGATGATGGGAACATGCCTGACGTGCCCAGCCACCCCCAGGACTGCCTCGAGTGGCTGAAGAAACTGTGAGCACCTCTGAAGATGGGAACCCCCATCCTCCAGCACCCAATAAGAACCTGAAAACCAAAAAAAAAGCACAGACATTCTGAAGAAGGCACCTAATCAACATCTGTAAATTGCATATGAAGGAATTGCTGGTGCCTGTTGTGTGTATTGCTGTTGTTATTGTTCTTAAGTGCCATCAAGTCGAGTATGACCCATAGCAACAGATCAACAGATCTGAACCCTGTCCTGTCCTGTGCCATCCTCACACTTCTTGACACACAGCGGCCCTGCAGTCACCATGCCAATGTACCTGGCTGGGGGTCTTCCTCTCCTTCACTGACCCTCCACCCTTCCCAGCATCATGTCCTTCTTCAAGGAACAGCCTCTCATAACAATATATCCAAAGTATGTGAGGTGAAGCCTCATCATTCTTGCCTCCAAAGAGCTCTCTGGATGCACCCTCTCCAAGACATATCTGTTTGATCTTATGGCAATCATGTTTGGTTGACCAATTTTGGTCTGCTGTGTACACTCAGTAGCAATAAAAGTAAAATAATATCATTTAAAAAAGAAAATTTAGTATTAAAAAAATAATAAACTTAAGAGCTTTCAAAATCGGTGACCACCGAGAGACAACCCTTCTCCCCAGCAGAACCCCTGAGAGGTTCAGAATTTGATAGGGAACAGGGTGAGGGGGGGTTTAAGCAAGACTGAAAGCTGGACCCTAAAGCTCCTCTCACACCTTGCACGCCCAAATGTCCCAAAACCCTCATGAGAGAGATCAGGAGTTTGTTTTCTAGAGAAAGTGGACCATTCAGGCTTCAGACTCAGGAAATCGAGACACAAAACAGAAGAGGATTAACTCTGGAGCTGAAAATGAAGATTAAGTGAAAATGACGTGGTTGAGAGTCTCCTTCCCCAACCAGCTCCCACAGTCTCACACCCATCAGTGCTAGTTAAAAGCACTCTGATAAATCTAATCAACAAGCCCATCTAAGTTTAAATATGAATGCTGAGTAAAGGTTCACCAGATAATTAAAGAAACTAATGCCCATTGTGGACAGTGGTGGAGATCCCAGTTTAAGACAAGTTTGAAAGCAGGAGTGACATCCACTTCCTATACCACATGCCTCTGGAAACTATGAACTTGGAGAAATAGCTATAGTTATAGAAAGGCTTCAGGCCTTTTGTTCATGGGGTTGCTATGAGTCGTGCTCAACAATAACAACAACAACATGAAAGAAAGGACCTCTGGTGGCCTACTGGCACGAAACTGTGCTGCAATCCCAAAGGTACAAGGTTCGAGGCCACCAGCCACTCTGCGGGAGAAGGTTGGCCAATCTCCCATGAGGTTAACTGCCTCTGAAAACCCACTGGAGTGTCAGCTATGGGTCGATTCTGATTCTATGGTACACAACAACAATGTGAAAGAGCACAATCAGAGACAAACTTGGGGTGCAGCAACCAAGACAGGAAGCAGAACACCAATTCCCCCCAATCATGCTAACAAAGGAGTGTAGGAACTCCCTAAAACAGCCAGTCACAAAGTCGCAGTTGTTGTTGTCAGTCAGAATTGACTCACAGCTGACCTTGTTGCTGGTTTCAGAAGCTGGAAACATCAGGGGAGGAGAACGCCCATCTTTGTCTCATGGAGCCACTGATGGATTCAAACTGCCAGGGAGCACACCCCCCTCTGGACTATGCCACCAGAGTACACTGTACAGGAGAACCACCAAGGATCCAGAGAGAACTACTGGAACTAGTATAAGTGCTTTTGTTGTTGTGTACCGTCAAGTCGGAGCAGACCCATAGCTGAACCTCCAGCGGGTTTTCAGAGGCTCGGGAGGAGCCTGCCCATCCTTCTCCCATGGAGCTGCTGGTGGATTCAAACCGCATGCCATTGGGATTGCTGTGCAGCTTCTTGCTTCTAGGTCACCAGAGCTCTATTACAAATTTAAAAAAACAAAATAGAAATGTTGTCAAATAATGTTGTGAAAATTTCTCAGAGTGTGATATGTGATCAAGATGAAAAGTAGAAAAGATTGTTGTTGTTGTTGTTGTTGTTGTTGTTGTTATGTGCCGTCGAGTCGCCTGCGACTCATAGCGACCCTATGTACAACAGCCCTAAACTCCAC